AAAAGAATTACTTCATATAAATAGTGTTGATGATCTTCAGTTTTAAACAACATTTTGAAAGAATATCAGAATGTGTACTATCCTCCGTTCTTTAATTCTTGCAACAGTTTGACTTTCACGTTTGCCAACGTACAACTTTGACTGTAATTATATTTAATTATGTATTAGTAAACATTATAAATGGTTGATATTTTGGAAATTCACATCGATAGGAATTCAATAACATTTTATACATAATAATTTGATTATGTATATTAGTAGAACATCGTGGTCAAAGTAAGGTCTGTGAATAGTGTCAAAATCACAATGTTGCAAGAATTAAAGAACGGAGGAAATATGTCTTAGTAAGGAACAAATCGGAGGAAATATAAAACTACACAATATTTTGAAGTTTTTTCAAAACGCGTGAAGATTAATTGTATAAGGAGCTTAGATTTTAGAAGCAAAGGTTTCAAATAAAACAAAATTTGAAGATTAAATACTCATCTAGGTCAGTGCACCTATGAAGCGTCAAACGTTCTCAAGTTTTAATTATGAACTAAACCTGAACTCATAAGGACCAAAAAGGAGCAATCACAGTTTCTCTTTGCATCCCAGAAATGAACTAAACTACATTTTAGTTTTAACTTGAAAACTATGATTTTTTTTAAACGAGATTTGGATTCCTTTTTTAGTTTGCTTATATTTATTAGTTATATATAATATATAAATCACTAAAGTGCATAAATAAGATGAATGAAATTTTGGAGATTACCTTAACCTCTAATGTTTTAAATCAATGCTAGAGCACGTAAAGTAACCCCTCTTCCTTTATGTTCTTTGACTTCCACTGTAGCAAAACAAAATATTTCAAATGCATTAGCCTTACGTTTATTTACAGTAAGTGGCTGCAAGACATAGAATATATAGATACTCATCAATGGATAATTGCTTATAAACACAAATAAAACTAAATACCACTTACTCATATGCAAAACACACCTAGCTTTAATTTAAAAGTTTAACATGCATATGCCTTGCTTATGTATATCAACTATTTGATATGCATGTCTAGCTCAGTGAGATCTATATAGCACACACAATGACAAATGTATTTGATGGTCCCGGATAGAGGTAAAAGTCTAGAGAGGGGGGGGGGGGGTGAATAGACTTTTAAAGCTTTTTCGGCTTTAAAAACTTTTCTCTTCTAGATGAGTTGATCTATAATCTTTTGAGAGATTTATAGATGCACAACGGAAGTCTTTAACCTCTTTGTAATCAGTGTGAAACAACTTTCTAGCTTGGGTGATGCTTGGTCTTAAATGGTGAGCAGTTGGCTTGGCAGTTGCCTGGATTGCAGAGAACTGCTGAGACAACTGCTACTAGAAAATGGGAGTTTGGAAAAGATGATTATGTAGCCTTATACAGAATGATGAGAGCTTTATGATGAGACACTGAGCTGGAGATAATAAGGGGTTTTGTTTTAGCAGAGGTCTAAGCAGTTGGGTAGTACCAGGAAACTGCTAAGGCACCTGCTGTGTATTAAAGATGTATTTCTGAGAACTAGCAAAACAGACCTTTTAGCAGTAATGTTCCAAGGCTCTTGTGAAACAGTTGTCTCTAGAAAAGTAAGTTATTAAGCAATAGGATAAGTAGTAAAGTCAATTGAGACTACTGCTTAGGATGTTGTTGGCAAACTATAATCCTTTTTGTGAGAAGTGTTGAGTTTGTGCTCTATTGTATGAAAGTAAATCAACACACAGTATATCCTGGTTCAGAGGTGGTGTAATCCTCCTACATCCTGTCCCACCCTATTTCAGATGGATTTCACTAAAATATTAAGCCCAATACACTTAGTGCCAATCTAGCCTTGACAACTCTGGCCTAGATTGAAGGTGTTTCATGAGTACAACACCACTCCAAGTTACTCAATCCTTTAGGATTTTCTCGATTGATCCAGTGAGGATCAAAAGGTACTCTTGTCCTATCTAACCACACTCAGGCCGGGAACAATTGTCTTCCTGAGTGTTTACAACACCTTGTGAAATAACACACTAAAGTTCTGGCCACCAACTAAAACTAAGCTCTAAAAATATGAAAATGTTGATCTAATCTAAGAGCTTAGTGAAGCATGAGTCAAAGCAGAGAGTAAAGTTATGAATGAGCACTTTCTCTTTTGCTGGATATCTTTTGAATGCTTATTGGATCTCTCTGCTTTCAGATTTAAGAGCTTAATTTCTAACTCATGCTTCGACCTTTATTTATAGGCGTCTCTCGTAGATTAATCTCATCCGTTGGTTGAGATGAATTAATCTTGGTCGTTGAATCTTGGTTTCAGAAGATAACATGTTGTTGTTTGTCTTCTTCTTTGGAGCCGATAACTTCTTTGTCTTTGTTAGCCTACCCGCTGCAGTTTTCTCCTTTATAGGTTTTCCACTTGACTGCGCTTCCCATGCTTCTGGGTCCCTTGTACGATTATACATTAAATGTCCTCCATGCTGGATTCCTTCAAGTTGCTTGGCTCAGGATGATCACGAGACAAAATAACTGACCGGTTTTATTTTTGTGTTCTAATAAACTTTATACTGGTAGGATTTGAATGTCCTATTAAGGTAAATAAATTTACTTTATTGCATTTTTAATTTCCAGTATTAAGTTTATTAGTCTCAAAAATTATATATTTATTTGTCCTCAATTATACACATGTAATATTCATACCTATGTGACTTTTATACTTGTGACAGTTTTAAAATGTTTGTGATAAATAAAAATATATACTGGTAGGATTTAAATATCCTTTTAAGGTAAAAATTACCTTATTGCATTTTGACTTTTTCTGGTATAATTTTCTTGACACAAACATTTTACATTTGAGTTTTGGTCACTTCAGGCCAGCTTAGTATTTTGAATTTAAACCAAATATTTAACTGGTAGGATAATAAATCCTATTTAAGGCAAAAATAATTACCTTATTGCATTTTGTGTTCTAGTTCAATACTCCTTTGGTTTTTCGAAATACTCTGTGTTTATTTGATGTAGCAAATAAATTTAACTAGTAAGATCTATAAGAAATCCTTTTAAGGTAATAGAATATTACCTTATTGCATTTTGTATTTTCCAGCTATATTTTATTTGCCTTAAAACTATGTTAGTTTTAGAGCACATCAAAAGTTTAGTGATAAAATCTTTAGGCACTTCTAGAAAGAGAGGAATACATGTTGTCATAAGTTAAATGCTACAAAAGATGGGGGACATCCGGAAACTATGGCATCATCAAAACTGTTATCAAAATCTAGGGGTCTAACAGTATTTAATATTTGATTGTGGTGATCAGCTAAGTAATAAAACAGATTTCAGATTTTCTTGTACTAACATTTGGTGAACTGAAATTACCGGAATAGCCAATTCTGGGCCATTTTGCTTATCAACAAAATAAGATGGTGAGACTTATACTTTCAGCTCTATATTAAAAATATTAGATACTTCTTTTAAACTTTAATCAAATACTTTAAATTGGTGCCTAACTTTAAAGAAATAATTACATAAATATGACCAAAATAAAGACGATTTACAAAAATATGACTAATGACTAGAGTAGTAATGAAATCATAGTAATTCATATTCAAGTTTTGAGCTTAAGTTACCACAACATCACATTGTAGTAATGAATAGTCATATTTATGTAAATATGTTTTATTTTAGTAATATACTTGTAAAAAATCCAACTTTAAAGTTATAACTATTATTAAAAATACATTTACAGTAGAATTTACAAAAGAATTTTTAGTTGCATCTAAATTTAAATTGTTGTACTTTCCAGAAGCTTTCCTAATCTTACATAAAGAACAGTTAGATATAGCTTTTGAAAGTCGCAAATGCATTTTAAAGCATTCGAAATGTGTAGAAGTTCATGATATATTCATAAAGAACTAAAATAACATCACAAAATCAGAATGGAACAGATCAAAAGCTTATTTCATAGCAGTCAATGATCCCTGGAGCATGTCCTCGGCCATCAGAGTGATGTATGAGCAACAATGATAGAGTCAATAAGGAATGAGTTTATAAGAACTTATGAACAAAAACTAAAACGAAGACCATGCAATGAATTTATACATCGGATTGTAAAACTACCTGAGATGACCAGCGAAAACGATGGTGTTTAGCTGGGCATCCATAGAAAACTCCAACAATTCATCTTTGCTGATCGGAAGAGGGTAAATATAGGGTGGGGATGGTGCCTACAAGCTACAACGACAAGGATGTCAGACTAGAAGTTTTAGAGAGAAGCCGAAAGCGACGCTTGGTTAGTGAGAAGGAGCGATAGGTTCCAGGGGAGGAGCGTTCAGACCGAGAGAAGCAGTGTGGATGTCTACTGGGCTTACTTCGGATGGGCAATACAAATATAGGCCAGACTAGAGCTTTTTATGATCAGACTGGACCAAGATTATTGTGGGTTGATTTGTCCAAATAAGAGTGATCGCTACTTTTTGGAAAATAAATACTTCACACAGTAAAGATATGTTTGACTGTTAGTGTAAAATGTGGTTTAACACTTTATAAGAAAACATCTTTCAACTACATAGATTATAAGTGATTTGTGTATTTGAATGGATTGTAGATTTCATAAGCACGGATGATTGAAAATATTATATAGTAACAAAGGTTGTACGGGCTTCGGTAGTTTGAAGATTAATGTTGTAAATCTTCAAGTTTTTTTTTTAAAATACTCTTTTGTATCGTAAGGTTTTTAGGGTTTTCCCTGTAGAATCTTTTTAATACTTCTTTTTATCATATTATACGATCAATGTTATTAAAGTTAATGTATATACCATAAGTATAAAAAAATTATTGTCCCGTGGGTTTGATACTCAATGATGCTTGATGTATATACACCTTATACACATCATGTTTGTGAAGCTTTTTTTTGTCTGTGAACTCGGTTCATAGACAATATTTTGTTTGTGCAAAACATTGTCAGTGAATCGATGTTCACAGACAAAAAAAAAGCTTCCACAGACATTTTGGTGAGAGGCCAAAGCTAAAAGGTATGGGTAGGTTAGGGATTTCGTTGTTTTCCCTTGTCGCCGTCGACAACAGGAGCCTGGGCAGAACTACGCCGTCCTATTCCTCTTCGTCGTCTTGCTCGACGTCCTCTGCTTCTCCCGCGGAATCTGGTATCCTTTCATCCATTTCGTAGTTTTATCCTCATACTTCATGGGATATTAAACGGACATTTCGACTTATTATTTGAAGAGAGTGTACTTGTGAGTACTCCTGTAATGATTCTGTAAACTAGAGGAGTAGAGGGCGTGGATACTTCGGGTATTGGTATTGGAAATTTAGAGCCTAGCCGGTGTCTATAGCACATGTCCTTGGCTGATCCACACTGTAACACATATTTTTATCAGCCGTGTAATAAAAACAACATTTTTGCAAGCCAAGTTGTTTTATAAGTAAAATAAGTAGTTTATGTTATTTTTATGATGGGTGAAAAAGTATATTTTAGCTATTTTCTTCTTCTGATTTTTTCCATATAGCATAAATAAACTATTTATTTATAATATATTTATTTAAAAATATATTATAAATAACTTTTTTCATAACCCACCAGATTCAACCCATTCAATTGATTCGGCCAATTTCAATGTTACAAAACAGGTTCTTAGAGTCTTTTTTTCATCTGGTTATGCAATTGGCCGTTTGCTCATACCTCAAACAGCATGCACTAAACAAGATTGGACATGAAAACCAAATTTAGTAATCAACATAGCAAGGCATATTAAATTTATAGGCTAAATTTAACATCATATTTTGTTTCTCTCCTTTTCTCTATTTATTGTTTTTAACTTGATATGTCCATTCTTTTCAGTCGACCCTAAATTCTTTCGGGATTAAGGCTTAAAGATGTTCTTGCTGCTAAATTTAACATCATGGGATATGCAGTGGTGATACATACTGGAAAAGTGGAAATGTTAAACCCACTTGAAAAACTCAAACATTCCTATTGGCTGATTCCCTGAGCGGCTAACAGAAAAATCAAAATGATGAATAGGTTATCTCAAACACTTTCTTTGGAAGCCAATTGAAAGTGTTTAGACTTTACACACATCTTCCACTGCGAAGAAAAGGTCCATAAACACCCATTAACCTGGGCTGGTAGCTTGCTTGGTTCAATCCTGAATTAAAAAGCAAGGTAGCTAGTTATACTTGTACCATAACAAAAGATAAGCATACTAAAAGATAATTATGCAAATCCAGGGAGAAATGTATACATCTTTCACTATCCCAGTTGACACCTCAGAGGCTCAGTTAAATACCTATAAAGGAGGAAAACAGCAGAAACCTTTTCAATCTTCTATTTTCCTTCTGTGGCTCGGAAACGTTTGCATTATAGATTTCGTTCACTACACCTGATTCTGTCATTTCTTATCAAGGGGAAGACCCAATAACAGAAGATGGAACTGAAGCAAGTTTAGTTGTAGCCATTTTTCTTATATTTTTCTTTGAAATTAGTACTCCATCCTCTTCTATCTATGTCTACTCTTGGTAAAGTAGAATTTACAATCCATATTATCTTACAGTTAAGCATATTAACACCTCAAAAACATTAATTGGATGCTTTTACCACTGGTGAGCATTTGCAAATGTAAAGTGGATGATATGTATAATTTTCGTTGACATGACATCCACATAATAATAATAATTATAATAATAATGATAACAACACCAACAATATCTCCACTTAAAAAACAATATGTATACGGAGTGTGTGGGTGTATATACATATACATACATACATACATATATATATATATATATATATATATATATATATATATACTAGAAATTAGAATTGTGACTGGTCTTCTTTTGCTTTCGATGTGCCATTATGATCTTCTTTTCTTACCTTATGCACTTCATGTTCTGAAGTTGAGGAAATAACAACTGTTTCCTTGTAAATAAATTATAATATGTATTTCACAATCACTTTTATTGGGCATTGACATTTTATGCATTTTTTGTCAGTTGCATGTTTTTTACAAAGAAGCAGGCGTATGTTATGGCCAGACGTCCTTTGCAGCTATTCATAAGTAGTATGTTTTCTGCCACTCATCCGTGTCTGCTGATGGCTGCCATTTTGACAATGCAAGAGTGATCTATTCAATGCCCATATGATTCATATTTGAATATTTCATGTTGATGCTTCACATGTATTTTACTAATATTATTTGAGTAAACCATACTACTAATGGGTTCTTGATTGTATTTCTACAGGATTGTCATTTTATACAACGAACGAGAAGTTGAGGGCCTTATTTTCGCCTTTTGGTGAGCTTAAAGACGGTAATGTTTGTTTTTTGCCCCTGATTACATGATTAGACCATTTCATTATGAATTCATTATTAATATCTTGAGTTCATAACTTATATTGCTCGTTTTTTTTAATTGATTAAGCGAGGCTTTTGGTGGACTCTAAAACTCGGAGACCCAAAGGATTTGGATTTGTGACCTTTGAATCTGAAACCGATGCTCATAATGCTTTGAAGGCTTTGAATGGAAAGGTACATTTTTTGCAAGTTCTTTTGTAATTAATGTGCTGCTATGTTGGGTTAGGGAACTGGTTGAACTATTTAAAAATTTATTTAGTTAAAAAATGTACTTGTTTTGCATCTCAGCGATACTATTATGGTCTCATGATGACCAGTAGTAGCAATATAGCAGTGTAGCATAACATAGTTGTGTAGGCCTAAGAAGCATAATGTTGGTAGAAAATAACATGAGTAGAAAAACCGGTAGCAATTCAGGATGTTTTTACTTGGACTACTTTCAATCCTAGACCGGACTTCTGTAGTTATGAAATACACAGAGATCAGACCAGACATTTACCAAACTAGTTCAGACCAGACCAGATTTAAACAAACCAGACCAGTAAATTACAGTCCAAGTAAAAACATTAGTATAGTAAAAATAGTGTAGTGAATACATGAGGTGATGGCCTATTTATAGGCAGCAAGTCCAATGACTAATGCTATACATGGGTTTGGCCCATTTTAATAACTAATATTGATCTGGGGATAGCCGGGTGCGAACTCCTTAGCTTCATGGTCGTGTTTCGGGGATATCATCAAATATTCATGCATGAAGATGACGCAGAGAAGACCTCGTACATCACCCCGAAAGGAATCTTATACTATTTGGTTATGGCTTTCGGCTTGAAGAACTTCTGGGCGACATACACGAGGATGGTCGTAAAGGTGTTCCGAACCGTGCTGGAAAGGAACATTGAAGCATATGTCGACAACATGATCGTCAAAAGAGTACAAGCAGCTGACCACGCCGACGACTTAGCTAAAATCTTCAAGATCATGAAGGCAATACGGCTGCGTCTGAACCCGAGAAGTGCATGTTCGCTGTCCAAGGTGGGAAATGTTTGGGGTACATGGTCACCTAGAGAGGGATAGAGCCAAACCCCGAGAAAGTGAGGGTAATCCTTAACATGGAATCCCTGAGGTCGGTGAAGGAAGTGCAAATTCTCACTGGACGGCTGGCATCTCTCAGGCATTTCACGTCAAAAGCAACAGAGAAGTTCCTACCTTTCTTCCAGGTTCTGAGGAAGCAAAATGAATTCATATGGACGGATGAGTGCCAGCAAGCATTCAAAGACTTGAAGAAGTATCTGCTCTCTGAACCGCTGTTGAGCAAGCCAAGGAAAGGAAAAACGTTGATATTGTACTTGGGAGTAACGCAGGGCGCGATCACCTCGTGCTGGTTCGCGAGGAAGAAGAAATTTAGAACTTTGTATACTATGTAAGCAAGACCTCGCAGAATGCGGAGCTGCAGTACACCCCACTCGAGAAGACCATTTATGCTATCTACATTACGACGAAAAAATTGAGTCATTATTTTCAAGCACACTCGATTAAAGTCCTGTCAGATCAACCTCTAGGCGCAACACTAAGGACCTCTGAGACGACTCGGATCGTAAAGTGGTCGATGCTTCTCAACCAGTGTGAGGTAGATTTATTTTCGGCCCCGATCATCCATCAAGGGGCAGACACTTACGGATTTCATCGTGGAGTGCATGGAAAGGGAAGTTAGAGAAAAGTAGAGAGATAATGAAGAACTGTGGTGTGCCCGGAGCTGAACTCGCGCAGAAGACTCTGCAACCCTCTCACACGCGTGAGGTCGAGACCCAACATGGTGCCAATCCAGGGAACCAGCCCGTCCACTCGGTTGACGAGAGTGATGAGACAAATCGTCCCCTCCTTCCCGTGACGAGTGTTGTTGGGGCCCCCTTCTTGATCGCCACGGCTGCTCAACTCGCCGAGACACATGCTCCCTTCGTGATTTGTCCGATTTGGTACGTTGCCCTTCATATCTCCCGGAGGATGTCTCGATGTTCACAGGGGTAGTATGGCTCGAAGGATTGTGCACTACCCTCTGGAGCAGCATCAACCTCTGTAAACCCTGAGTTAAATCCTCAAGAGCGTGTGTGACCTCATGGAGTGCCTGCACCCCAACGTCAAGATATGCCGGGTTTATGCGCGGAGCACGACGATGCTCACCTCAGAGCCGATCATGGAAGAATCGCCCATCACGACTGCGGTCCAACGAACACCTCAGGTCCCCAAGGCTCGACAGTTGGTTCCGAAGATCTCCTATCAGCCTCACCACCTCATCACCTGACTTCTCACACGATGGCCATTGGGCACATGATGTCCATCTTCCTCTTCAAAATTTCTACCAACAAAGTGAGGCGATAACTCTCAATGAAAGCACCAATGTTGGTAGAAAATAACTTGAGTAGAGAAATTGACAACATTTTAGTATAATAAAAACAGCATAGTGAATACATGGGGTGATCGGCCTATTTATAGGCATCAAGTCCAATGACTAATGCTACGTGGGCTTGGCCCAATTTAATAACTAATACTGATGCTAACAGACCAGCCGGCCCAATAAATAAATAAATACTCCCGGGCCAATTTCCGCTAGTTGGGCTGTGTCTCAGTTCTGATCAGGCGTAGGCTCGGATATAACGGGCCGACAGTATTGGATCCGGCCCATTATCCCAATTCCAAAACATAGAACCTCTTCTTTGGAAAACTACATGCTTTACAAATCACAATTGGACGTGTTTAACATGTGGCAGATTCCTATAGCCGTATTTGATATGCCAAGTCTTGGGTCATTGACCGGATACAAAGTTGGCAAGAATGAAATATATCGATCTTGAATTTTGAATTTACAAAGTCTTGGGCACAATATAATTAGAGAAAGTGTAACCCAATTTTTTAATCTGAAATCCTTACTTCTTCTTTGGTTGTGCACTGAGAATTTCGGGAACAATTGTATTTCTATCTATCAGACTTGTTTAGTTGTTAGTTTATAACTTTATTACATATAAACCTTAAACTTAAATCATGTTTGAATTCCGAAAACTGTAAATGACACTTCGATTTTTTTTCATTGTACTGTGTCCATGTCCTTTTTCATGTCTTGCTATATTGCGTTCCTGTAGCATACCAATATAGCTATATTGCTATATTGGTCATTTATCTTATCTTAATGTTGGTAACTCTAAATGTACAAGGAATTTTACCATCTGATTGTTTGTAAAGTTTTCCCTCACGGACTATCTGCTGACATATTGGGGTTCTTCTATTGGATGATTATCCCCCCATCTCTAATGGATAATCTAATCCATATAGTGATCTCACCTTTTCTCAAACAAATTTATATCATATTACATACGGAGTACTAAATTATTTCAAGAGTATGATTGCTACTTCTTGTAATGTTGTATAGTATTGCTTCTATTAGGCCTATCTGATTTGTACTTGGTATGTCACCTCTGATTTGTTGAGCATGTACAGATTATTGATGGAAGAATGGTTTTTGTGGAAGTTGCCAAGACCCCTGGATCTGGGGAGAGTTAGCTGGTAGGAGTCATGCTAAGTCAAAACCAGAAACCTCATTTTGGAATGGAGGGAGTGATAATACTTTGACACATGGCAAGTTCATTAAGCTGGGCAATGTTTATCGGATTTCCATTTTTGTGCACTTTAGATATATGTGTGGCTTATGTGTATCTTATCAATGCAGTTTTTGGAAGCGCCAAAAGAAATATAAAATTAGGTGCTTTGTGCCATCCTATACCCCAAAATAAAATCTACAGTAAGATATTTAGAAATAAAAAGAACTAGGACTTTATCCATGGTTGAATGTAAAAGCTAACAATTAACATAAAGTTGATAGATAATGTCTATGTTTACTGGATAAAGTCTGTGCATTTATATCCCATTTAGGAGGTTTGGATTTGATTCTTAGAACTTTTTCTGGTCCTTCAGGGAGCAGAAGTTAGAGTGTTTGGCTGAAAGTGCATAAGTACTTCTGTTACTCTAATTTATTCCTAGAATCAGATTTTTTAGAAGTTGGGGGAGACCAGTTTCCAGAAAACTGATTCTGCTTCTGCTTTAAACAAGAAGTAGAATCAGTGATTCAGTTCCAAACACAGTAACCCTCTAAGGCCCCTCCCCTCCTACACCAATGCTTTGTGCGGTTGTGCCTGACGACTTTACATTCCACCTTTCAAGATCCTACAATGATTTGGGTTTACTAAATTTGATTTGATCAGTTGTTTTGTAATCTGTAGGATTGTGAAGTATACACATGTAGGAATTTTATATTCACTTTCACAATGAGGATATGGAGTGATTATATAGCATTTATAGCATATTAGCATAGCTTGATAGCTACACATGGATGGACTCGGGCGGGGTGGCCCGACCCGGAACCGGCCTGGGGCCGGCACTGTTCCGGCCCGGCCCGACCCGGTGGCCCGGTCAGTGACCGGTCCAGGTAGGCCCGGCCCGTGGGTTTTCCGGTCCGGGCTCGGGTCACCCAAAACAAGGCCCGACCCGGCCGGGCCCGGGCCCGGTTCGGGCCAATTTTTTTTTTTTTGTTTTTTCAATTTTTTTAACTTGACGGGTTGGGCTGGGTATTTTGGGCCTGGTTTGGGGGGTTCGGGGTGGGAGGGGGGTTAATTAGGAAGAGGGAAAAAAAAAATATAATGGGCCTGGCCTGACCCGGACCCGGTGATTACCTGGGCCGGTCCCGGGTCCACCATTTCTGACCCGGCCCGACCCGGCCCCGGCCCGGACCCGAGTCCAACCCTATAGCTACATGCATTTTTAATGCCACAAGTCACACAGTGGATAATTAGATGAAACTTGACGTCGTAATTTATTTACTACCTTCCCATTTTATGTCTTGTTTGAATTTCGCACATTTTATGTGGATGGCATATTTATTTTCAAAGAAATAAATGTTACACTTATTTTGAGACAATCTAAAAAAGAAAAATAAGACATGTCCTCGCATATGTTTTGGACCATAATTTGATCAGTTATAACTTATAAGTAATCTACTTATGCGTAGTACAAGTTTCTCAACTTCTCCCCAAGAAAAAAATATTCGGCATGTTTATCCGCTTCATCCAGAATTACATCAATATTAGTAGATTTAGCCAAATCAATCACTTTCAATGTTATCCAATATGCACAAAAGTACCTATAAAATTATAAAACGTGATTTCTCATTTTAAAAATTTCAAAAAATAAAGTATTGTATACAAAAAAATACACAATTTTAGTGCAGGTTCATACAATAAATTATTCCTACTGTTTTTAATACTCCATCTATCCCATTTAGAGATGGACCCGGGCCGGTCTGGTTCCGGTTCTGGGCCAGGCCCGAGCAGGCTTTTTTTGCAAATCCTTGGGCCCGGAATAGGGATGGACTCGGTTCGGGCCTTGACCCCCGGGCTTTTTTTGCAAATTACCTTATATATATATATATTTTTTGGGCTTTTCCTAGTTAACCCCCAACCCTCCCCCTCACCCCCAAACCAACCCTAACCACCTCAAATGGCCCAAATTACCCAGCCCAACCCAAAAACTTAAAAAAAATTAAAAAAAAAAAAATTGGCCCGGCTCAGGCCTGAACCGGCCGGGCCGGTTCACCTTTTGAAGGGCTCGAGCCCGAACCGAGATCCCACCGGGCCAGGTGCCCCGAACCGGCCAACCAATCGGTTCACCGCGCCGGTCCGGGCCCGCACAGTAGCAGGCCGGTCCGGTTGGCCTGGCCCGAGTCCACCCCTAGCCCGGAACCAGCCCGGGTTGATACCGGGTCCGGGCCTAACCGGGCCAGGCCAGGCCGGGTTCAACGTCTATTTTTTTTTTGCTTTCTTGTTATCCCACGACCCCTCCCCCCTCACCCCCACCCCCAAACCTCCCCAAAACACCCAGCTCTACCCTAGGAAAAGAAAAAAAAATTGAGAAAAAAAATTTACCGGACCCGGCCCGAACCGCCCGGGCCGGTTCGCCCAAAACTGGGCCCGAGCCCGGCCCGCCCAAACAGGCTAAAAGCCCAGAACCGGCCAACCGGTCCTGGTCCGGTCCGGGCCCGCACAGTAGCGGGCCGGTCCAGTTCCGGGCCGGTTCAGCCCGGCCCAATCCATCCCTAATTGCACCCCAAACGGCTAAACCTAATTGCTTGTCTGACTTCAGAAAATTATATTCTATTATATAAAACACGTTAGAAGTATTTCTAGTTTTCCGAAAGAGGGAAAACTTGCATACTTAATTTATGTTTTCCAATTTTTTAAGAAAAACATAACTTTAATGTTAGTAAATTCTCATCACTTTGTAACTGAGCACTATTACATTTATACGGGATCATTTTTAACTAGTTAAAATGATGACAATGTAACGAACACATTTTAGTTATTTTTAAGTAAAAATCACTGAAGACAAATTGAAGTAATATGGATATATGTGGAAAAGTTTCACACAATTATTGAAGCAAAATACTTCGTACAATTTAACCTTTATGTAATATATTCATCAGATCTCTGACCGTAAAAGGGTACAGCTGTCTGAAAGAAGCAATATTAAAAGGTCCGCGAAAATTTTCTGATCTCATACATGATTGAAGATATGGAAACGAGATCCTTATTCAGAGCAGTGCCACCTGCAATTCGCTTCATAGAGTCCGAAAGCCTCGTGTAATAAAGAAGCAGCTGGGTTAAGGCCGCCCTAAGAATGTCCATGCCACAGAGGAAGTTGCTAAAAGAAGTGATTACGTCATTGTGCATCAGCTCTATTGCACCCTTCCATCGGCTTGCAAAGTCTTTGACTATAGGTTCGACCTCAGAGGCTGTTATGGCAGGGGGCCTTTGAGATCCTGAACTTGGTTCCTCGGCTGAGTGAATAATAGTGAGCATGATGAGCTCCCAGTCCAGTCAAATAGATTTAAGATGATTTAAGGGCAACAGCATCTTTTTTAAAAAATACTTACATCCTCTTGTCTTAACAAACTTAATAAGATCACTGAAGTGCTCCAGCAGTAGCTCTTCCTGTAAGCAAATAAAAATAGGCGAGAAATGATTAGTTGAGAACTAGTTATTTCGACCGCACATCACCTGAGCTATGGATAAAGCTGTCTAAAAATTATTTTGCATTGTATAAAGAACATGTCTCGCAAACTGGGCCCATTAGGTAAGGGTCATTTGGCTGAAATGAAATGGTTGAAACTGTGGAACATTCTCAATGGAAAAGTAGGGGCAAGCTGAAAGTGATTTTGATTGAGAAAGTTTCAAATATTCTTAAAAGAGACAGAGTGTTGGGTCTCAATGAGAACATATGATGCATGACAGAAAAAGATGAAAAAGGAGGATTCCAGTGGATGACCTCGAGAGATTTTCTATAAGTTCATGTTTTGATAATCATACTAATAGGTAAAAGAAAACATTAGGAAATGTTGCAATATTGGATTGTATAGCCACTTTTGACACTGCAAAAGTACCACACTTGAAGTTATCAACGCATAAAACATGTTTGAGGCGAGTTGTACTGAATACACTTCCAGTAGTTAAACCATATGCAAGCAGTACATTGTGGTCAAAGAAGAAGCAGGTCTAAAACTATGTATGATGTCAGATCTAAAAGTGGCTCAAATGAGAAAGTGGTGGTTGAATTTGGCTCAGAGGAAGTGCCTAATCATTTTTTCACTTGTCAATGTATATGCTTGGATATCCTCCGTTTTCTTGTAGATAAATACCATTACTTTAGCGAAAATGTATTTCTATGGTATCTTAGAGGAAAATTGTCTTGTACTTGTTTCAGGTTAATGACATAAAATTATTCCACTACACTCTTACCACAAATAGAGCAGTGTTGTTCTTCAGTAAATCCTCAAAATGCTGCTGAAATTTGCTACCCTCTGGACCAGCTTCCTGAAATGGAACGAGATTATACTCATTATAGTAATAACTGCATAAAGAGCCTTGGGAAGTATTCACTGAGAGGGCCTCCATGATGTATGGCGTGTTTAGGTGCTTGGTTGGGAACTTACAACATGACCACATCAGCATATGAGTAAAAGTTGCAACTCCTAAAACATGCCATCACATACAGTTCTAAGAGATTTATAATTTGTTCACAAGTAAACCTAGCTTAAACAACCATACTAACCAGGCACAAACGAAAACAAGCTAACAATTTGTAAATAGCACAAGTAAAAAATGTTACTTCTGTGAAATCCACTGAATAAAAATGCATTTTTTTAAATGCAGGTTATGCAGCCAAATCATTTGATGTTTCACATAAATTTATCTGAATAATGGCAAAAACTGATGTCCCTCAGGAAAGAAAAGCAAAAGAATAAAGGACTGAACAGGATCTGTAATGCTGAATCACAAAAAGTACACAATACTTTATGTTCACAATACTTTTGGAAGGGGAAATAAAGAAAGTGAGTTGCTACCATAAAAAACATGGCAACACTCCATAACATAATTGCTTGAAGCCTTACCTTCAAGACAGATATTGTCATATCGTAGTTGTTTATTAGAAACACTGTCTGCTGCTTTTGTTTAGGGAACAATTTGGCAAGCTTGACTAGCAAATCATCAACAGCCATTCTAAGCCTCTCCATATTGAGTTCAATCTACCAAGATCAGCACATAATACAATATATTTTTAGACCAAATTAATGAGGAAGCATTCACAAATCTTGAAGACTCAGAAGTGTTATGACCAACCTGACCATCTCCGTATTCAACGTTAAGATGAATAAGTGAGGCAGTAAATTCTGCATAACGTCTCATGACATAATGTGGATGAACATCATCCTCCCAGAGAGTTCTGATATTAGCATTTCGCAGGCTATTGAGGTGCGAGTCAAATACCATCTTGAAACGAGGCCATAACGCAATATTGACCTGCCCATAATTATTAAAACCAACTAAACAGATTAAGAATCGACAAGTTTAGCTTGTACAGAAATTGAGTTTGGGAGGACCATTTCTACATTCTGCTCACATAATATGAATAGATGTTAGCAAATGATATTATTTACTACCTCCGTCCCACTAATAATGGGACATGAGGGGGTGGTTTGGTTATTAAGAAAAGTAGGTTTATGTAGTTGATATTGAATTGATAAAGTAAGAATGATTTAGAACCACACAAATTATACCAAATTTGGTATGGAACAATCTTAGTGGAACAGACCAAAAAGGAAAGATGAGACAATTTTAGTGGGACGGAGGGAGTAATATTTTTGAATAAGTCATGAATAAACATGTTTCATTAAATTGATTACTAATTTGGGAGAACTATCAAATAAGCCCTCGAACTTTCATAAAAAGTGCAAATAAGCCCTTTTATAGGAGGCTCTGTCCAGCCGTCACCATTTGGGAGGTTTCCGGTGGCATTTTTTGATGAAGTTTTTTGAGTATCTTCTTCAATAAGTCTAGTTTATTCATACCAAATTTCAACTAAAAATTCAATCGGGAAGGCAGTCAAATGGATTTTTGAAGATAAATGCGCAGTTAGACAGCGCAATATATTTCAGAAAATCATTTGACTGCCTTCTCGATTGAATTTTTAGCTGAAATTTAGTATAGGTAAACTAGACTTAATGAAGAAGATGCTCAAAAAATTTCATCAAAAAATTTCATCAAAAAATTCCACCGGAAACCGCCCCAAATGGCAACAGCCGGACAAAGCATCTTGTAAAAGGGCTTATTTGCACTTTTAATGAAAGTTCGAGGGCTTATTTGATAGTTCTCCCTACTAATTTTAATAAATAAACAAAGAAAATTTTAATGTTGTGGTGGATAAATACTCCATATCTAGTGATAGTTAACTGGTAAGTGGTGATATAAAAAGCTTCAATGTGGGCCCAAAATATTGCAGATTCATACCCGGGCAGTGGGCCCAAATATGCTGGAAAACAAAGTGGCTAAATGAAAACAATTAATTAGTTATTTCTATTATTCTTATTTCAGTTTTAGGCAACTTCCTAATTATACTATTATTCCTATTTCAGTTTTAGGCAACTGCCTAATTATTAATTGCCTTTGGGACTCTTGTATCAGCCTCTATATAAGGGTCATTATTATTATCAATAAAGTACCTTTTGGAAGAATTAATTTTGTGTGTCTTGACTAGGTCGGACATCGATTTAATCCCTACTTAAGATTTCAATTCTTCAGAAATCATAGATTCCTTCCCAGCCAAATACCTTCCCTCTGAATTACAGAAACACTCCCGTCCCTGGACGAGATCATTAACACAGGTTCTTAACATAGGCATGAGCTTACTGAATTCAATCCTGATGTTATTGAGAATCAATTAATCTGGTAGTGGTAGAAACTGAATTGCTGGAGGGGTCTGGAACATATAGCCCGTGCCAGTGTAGTAGCAGGACCAATAGGGGTAATTTCACTGAAAGAATTATAACTACATTCCATGGTACAAGGATGATTTGCAGGCAATAGTGGCTGCTTTTACCATGCTGCTAGGGTTGTAAAGCTAGGAGTCTTAAAATAACACTCTGTCCTAATTCATAACTTTAAGTCTCAATTGCTTTATGCATGAATATTAGGGAAACATATTATATGTAATTAAATTTCTGTTGATGTACTTTTTTACCACAAATAATAAAAATTTGAACATGTTAGCAGTTTTCACAAGTTAGATCGTGAAAAGATTCATGTAAAGGTGGAAAGTGATGCTTAAAAAAGAAAGTGGACATTATTGCAGGAAAAACTAAGGACCGTGAGACTTGTAAAAGGAAACATACAGGAGTAGTATAATATACAACAAATGATAATATGTTAAAATACTGTGTAAAATAAATCATAAAGAGCCTAAAAAAGTAAGTGCCTGGTTTAATTTACTGAAGAAAGTATGGTATCAACTATTATAACTTTGATGTGATTTTTATGGGTATTATACTCAAGGGAAAAGACTAACACGTGTCCTAAATAAAAAGATTTCAAAAAATCTATGCAGAATAACAAGTTTATTATCCAATAAAATATACTACCTCTGTCCCACTAAGATTGGGACAAGAGAAGGTGGCACGATTATTAAGAAAAGTGGGTTTGTGTGGTAGATATTAAATTGATAAAGTAAGAATAAAGTAAAAATCATTTAGAGCCACACAAATTTTACCAAATTTGGTATGGGACAATCTTAGTGGGATTTCCCGAAAAGGTAAAATGGGACAATCTTAGCGGGACGGAGGGAGTAATAGATACAGGTACATCCGGATCCACACTCAAAGAACTGACAGGAAACTGAAGTAAAAGGAGATATATAAGTGACAACCTTATGAGGAATTGCATACCTTATCTAAAAATGAATCCAAGCAAGGAATTCGGCGGCGAGACATTACAAGCTGAAAGAGAAGTATAACAGTTTATAATACAACACAATGCAGTAATCTAAAACCATATGACACTCATGGTATCATTAATAGAGTTATGCTTCAATAGGTAGCTGGGTCTTGACCTGATGCTGGTGAATGATTCGAATCATGAGCATCAGACCAATTGCATCAAATGAATTTGGAAGGATTGAGTTGAAGTGTTCATCAATTACGGCAAAAGGACCTAGTAGTGCAATAAGCTGAATCATGAATCCAGAGATTAATTATGAGATAAATAAATGAATGCGCAATTAAAATGAAAAGTTGACAATTTATCCATCAAGTCACTAGAAACAGTATCAGCTTTCAGAGTAAACTACATTGAAGGGAACCAATCTATCAAATGATAGTTTGAAGAAACAGCAATTCAGATAGATTTGGTATATTTATTTATATAGTTCATGACTCATAATATTTTAGATTAAAAGATATGCATTCTCTTTCGCAATTTTTTCTTACTTCATTCTTATTCATACCTGCAAATATGTCATAAAACATAGACTGTTCCCCAAAGAAATGATCACAGAAAAGGTACCTGTGATGAAAAAGCAAACAATAAGCATAAACTGCATAACAGTATTAAGGAAAAAATCACTCTATATTTGGGTGACTGCTTAAACTCAACATAGAAGAAAAAGAAGAAGTAGAAATCAAGAGTACTCAGAAGAGGCTGTATCCAGAAGCAGTTTGTGCAAGCTCCTAAAGAGAACTTCATAGGGATACTTCTTTGAACTGGCTTCAGCGATGTGTGGGATTAATGGAGGTTCCTCAATTTCCTGGAGATAAGATGCATTACAAAAACATCAGCAGAACTTTATTCCAAGCCATGGTTATAAAGAGAAACTATGACAATTCATAGGGAGATCATAAGAACACTTTGTTTCATCTAAAGATCATAAGTTCAGCAGTAGCTCAATACATGAAGGCAAGAACTGACAGAAGCTCACCTAACTGTCAATAGTTTCTAGAAGTGGAAAATTGTTTGCCGTAAATGGAATTTATTACGATGAGTCTTCATCAGTTGCTATTTGAAACCAATCAAACCATCGACTGAAAAGGTTTTAAAAAGCTCTAATCAGCTTTGGGGCGTTTTTCTTTAGCGTCACAAGGCGCAAGACTCAAGGTGTGTGTGTGTGTTTGTGTATATATATATATATATATTAACAGAAGAAGAAGAAGATAAAAGATGAAAGTATTTCAGATTAATCACAACAATGAACTGAGTACAAGTATTTATACAGTTGGTTATAAGTCTAACTGACTCCATAACAACCGGGTCCCCATCTAGTATACTGTTTAGGATAATCCTTCTAGTCTATTACATGATATGTATCTAACATTCCCCCCTCAAAATTAGGGTGATTGGTTTGACAACTCAATCAAAATAAGTTTTGTTTTTAAATCAAGAAATCTGGAACTGGAGAGTGGCTTGGTCAGTATGTCTGCAATTTGATGAAGAGAGGGAATATGATAGACTTGGAGTTGCTTGAGCAGAACTTTTTCTCTGACAAAGAAAAGATCAATTTTCATGTGCTTGATCCTGGAATGCAAAACAGGATTGTGAGACAGTTGAACAGCACTGAGGTTATCACAGTATACTCTGGGAGTAGAAAAGGGGACTTGAAGTTCTTTTAGTAGAAATTGGATCCATAAGAGTTCTGCAGTGGTGTCTGCCAGACTCCTATACTCTGCTTCTGTTGAAGATCTTGCAACCCTAAGTTGTTTTCTTGACCACCAGGAAATGATGTTGGTTCCAAGAAGTATGCATGAGCCAGAAGTAGACTTTCTGTCATTGGGATCAGATGCCCAGTCAGCATCACAGTAGGCTGATATTGGTAGAGGTATAGAAGACAAGGAAATAGGTCTGATGACAATTCCATGATTTGCACTTCCAGAGAGATATCTGAGGATGTGTTTCACTGCATTCCAGTGCTCCTGCAGTGGTTCTGCCATGAACTGGCACACTTTGTTGACAGCATAGCAGATATCTGGCCTAGTCAAAGTTGCATACTGTAACATTCCAACAATGGATCTATACTGGGAAGGATTTGAGTGGTAATCACTACCTTGTTTCTGCAGTTTGCAAGTGCTCACCATAGGTGTCATAACTCCCTTAGATTCAAGCATGCCGGCTTGATTTAGAACATCTCTGATGTACTTAGCCTGTGATAGGTGAAGACTGCCATCTGGGAGCTTGTGTGCCTCTATTCCAAGAAAGAAATCAAGCTCTCCCAAGTGTTTTAGAGAAAATGAGGAATGGAGTTTGTGAATGAGTTGAGTTATGGCTGCTGAATTGTTTCCTGTGACCAGGATATCATCAACATAGATAAGAATGTAAATTTGGACTGTGGAGGATAGATAGATGAGTAGGGAAGGATCAGATTTGCTTTGTTTAAAACCAGTAGCATAAAGAACTGAGGTTAGTTTTTGAAACCAAGCTCTAGGAGCTTGTTTTAAGCCATATAGTGATTTGTGAAGTTTACAGACCAGAGATGTGTCTTGAACTTCAAAACCTGGAGGTTGAACCATGTACACTTCCTCTTCTAGTTCACCATTCAAGAAAGCATTGTTAACATCTAACTGCTGGATGGACCAATTGTGTGAAATAGCAATGGTAAGTAAGATTCTGATAGTGATAGGCTTCACAACTGGAGAAAATGTTTCCCCAAAATCAAAACCAAACTTTTGATGAAAGCCTTTAGCCACCAATCTGGCCTTGAACTTATTTAGAGAGCCATCAGGGTTTTCTTTGACTCTGTAAATCCACTTGCATCCAATAGCATGCTTATCTGGTGGAAGAGAAACAAGAGTCCAGGTTTTATTAGCAATCAAAGCATTATATTCAGTATTCATGGCTTCAAACCACTGTGGAGAAGAGAGAGCCTGTTTAACTGATTTAGGCTCAATATGAGCCAACAGTAAGGTAGGATGAAGTCTTGGTTTTACTATGCCTGACTTTGCCCTTGTCCTCATGGGATGAGTATTGACAATAGGAACTGAAGGAGGTGGAGTAGTTTGGTGAAAGGAATCAGATGAAGAAGAATGAGGGTTAGGTGAGGAGTGTGATTGATGAGATGTGTTAGGAGGATATTCATGAGATGAGGATTGTGATTCATGAGAGGAAGATTGACTTTGAGTATTATTAGAGAGAGATGGATGGTGTTCATGAGATGTGTTTGAAGGGTGGTTTTGAGAAGATACAGAGTCAGCACTGGAGGATTCAGATTCAGAGAAGCTGGGAGGTTACGTCCACAACTAATCAATCTGCAAGTGAAAATACTCCAGACAATGCTTCGATTCAACTTGCTCAGTTTAACAACCATGAAAACCCTAACTCTTATCGAGGAAGAGGTCGTGGAGGTTTCAACCGAGGTAGAGGAGGAAGATCTGGAGGTCGCTATTCAGTCACATGTCAAGTTTGTGGAAAACCAGGTCACCATGCATTGATATGCTATCACCGCTACAATCCAGCCTACACAGCTTCAAATTCCACTCCCTCAAATTCCTATAGCCAACATTCTACCTTTCCCAATCCTAATCCTCAACCACCATATCCTAATAACTTTCCACAAAGATCTAACTATCCTCAGTCACAGTTTCCTCAGCCACAATTCAACTGGGATCAGATGAGCTACATTAGCAGACAATAGATTTGTTTGAGACGATTCACGAAGTTTCTGCAATCGTACCTCTTTGGCAGACAAAAGAGATTCGACTTCCGACACAGTAGGAGGATCGAGAATGCTACGAGAGGAAATAGATGATGCTAGAGATTCATATTCCTCCGGTAAACCTTCTAAAATCACATTGATGTGTTCCTTAGATGTTATCGGTTCGCCAATAGAGAGGAGATTATCAGCGATGGTTTGGATCCGTAGAAGGTACTCAGAAATGGTACGTTCACCTTTGGCAGTAGTATACAGTTCTGATTTCAACTGTCTGGCCTTCGCAACTATACTTGCTCTGAAGAACGTGTTGATCTCATTCCAGAGTTCGTATGAATGACTGCAATGGATCACTCGTGCATGAAGCGATTCAGACAAGGATGCAAGCAACCACGAGAAGAGCATTTGGTCTTGTTGTTCCCAGGTAAGATACAATTCATTTACGTTTCCAGCTTCTTCATCAGCACTGGAGAGAAATTGCTTCGGAATTTCTGGTTTGATGATAAACCGAAGGAGTTTGTGCGCACGAACGATTGATTCAACGTGATGCTTCCAAAAGATGAAATTATTAGCATCAAGCTTGATCGGAAGTTGATGTGCGAAAGTAACGATGGAGGAAGAATTTGTGGAGGTAACAGAATCTGAGTTAGAGGACGCCATTATTGGATCGATCTAGAGCATGAGCTCTGATACCATAACAGAAGAAGAAGAAGATAAAAGATGAAAGTATTTCAGATTAATCACAACAATGAACTGAGTACAAGTATTTATACAGTTGGTTATAAGTCTAACTGACTCCATAACAACCGGGTCCCCATCTAGTATACTGTTTAGGATCATCCTTCTAGTCTATTACATGATATGTATCTAACATATATATATATATATATATATATATATATATTCCCTTCTTCCCAAAAAGAGTGCCGTTTGGCCAATGTACACCATTTTAATTTTGGCCAGGTACAACTCTTAGAGTCATGGAAACCTACATAAATCTTTTAAAAGTTTTTAATGGTTTGTCTAAGCTTATTGTGTTTGACTTGTTAGAAACTCTTTTTTGCAAATTACATGAAAAATTAGTTTATCTAATAAAACTGTTTTGGGATAAAGGTTTTGAAACAAAACTACTTTTAGGGATGGGGAAGTGAGGCTTATGAAATTCATATAACTCCTTTTAAGTATTTCAAAACCACAGCCAAATATCTTAATGACTTAGTAATTCATAATAAGAATTGTGATTGCATGATTGCATTCTAAGATGTACAAACATAATTAATCAAATGTTTGAGTAGCACTTCTCTACAAAAGGAAAGCCGAACAATCGAGTATAGAAAAAGCGGTCAAGTAGTGTAGAGAAAGCAATGCATCGGATGAAACAAATGCAGTCGGTAGAAAAAATAGCTAGAGTTGTATGGTTTTCAGTGGGTTGAATTTTTTTAAACTCATAAAAGCATCCCAAGTCTTAATACAAAAAGCAAATCTTAAAACGCCTAAACTACGTATAAAAGAGCCATTTATGCACGTAATTAATGGTTCATCTTTGCCTAATAGTAAAGGAGGAAGCCTTGGTCACCTCATGACCTCACGAGGTGTACATTGAGACCTCAGTGAGGGTAAGCTAATGTGTGACGAAGAAAGCAGAAGCCTCAAACAATTTTTCTACATTCCCATGTTACAAGCAACATAGAACCACAATTACCTAAAATAGTTATTCCAGACAACTATCAGAATACTACAAGACTTTCGTCAATATATACATTCTCTATAATAGTACTATAAAATCTCGTGTAGACTAATCATTCCATTAGATCTTACTTGTTTAAAGAGTTATGATCATGTATTTGATGTATACATTCTAAGAAATCCAAGTAATGAAGAAACCCATAAGAAAACTCAGTCAATATAGTCTATGAAATTTTCAGATAGCTGCACCACACAGCTAAAGTTGATCTATCACAATAAAAGAACACACAGCAGTCAAGCTAAAAACATCATATTTAAGGTAGACAAAAAAAACAAAAGAAATTTGCATTGATCTAATCGTAAAAAATCAAGCATTTCCAGTGTCGTCAAAAATAGGAGTAAGACCTTGAGAATGTTCATAAAAGTAAGAAACCATGCATTTCCTATACTAACCACAAGAGACTAGGAGAGTAAGACCTTGAGAATGTTGATTCTTTCCCCCAAAGCAAACACTGCAGACCGATTCTTTAATGGCTCTCTCCCTCTGGAGAAAAGGCCACTGCTTCTTGTCTCAACACCTATTAGATCACTAGACGTTGCTATATCCAGTTGCAGTTTCTCTAGTGCTTGGATATAAGCACGGAACTGTGCACTTAAAACCTGAATTTTAATAACAGATGCATCAGTAACCATGTATGAACTATGAAGCCAATGAAAGGTGTGTGTGTGGCATGCCATGGATACTCAACCTAACTATCCATTATCCTTGCTGCACTCAGATAGTAATACGGAACTTTTCAATCCTCCCTACACTAGTAAGGATACTTGTAGTACAATCCTCCCTGCACTAATACGGACACTTGCAGTACAACCTTCCCTACACCAATACGGACACTTGTAGAGTTGTAGTGATAGGATTCTCTTATTTTTAGAATATATTTGTATGATTTTCAAGCATACAAAAAAAATCTAACGTAAGAGAACCACAGTCCTAGTTTTAGAAGTAATATGGTCTTATTGATTCCCGTTCATATTGGGTTATGTCCGCTATTTCTCTATATAAGCATTGTAATAGTCTTTAGAGATATTTTAAAAAAAACTATAAATTGTGTCTAGAGGTATTGTTCAACAATGTGCTATGGAAAGAAAAGACCAAGGTGCTACATAAAGCTTTTCTTAGACACATGCCAATAGAAGAGTGGGAGGAATAAAGCTGATATCAGATAAATCCATTAAGCGAAAAGCCAAGTACAAATTGATGTTGGTCAAAACAAATTTTGATATATCGCTCAATGAGTTAACCTTGTTCATTGTGTCAATATAAGCTCCTCGAACCTCAAGATACACCTCCTTTCCATGCTCCTTGAGAAAGGATATAATAAACCTGTGCGATTGATTCTGTGAGTACATCAACTAACATGTTATTCAAACTTAACAGTGAGAAGAATCATGACAAACCAAAAAGGGAAAGTAGGAAACATCTCCTGAATTGGTATTCATAGAGCATCTCCATTCATGCTTTTCAAATAAACTATTTTTTGGGGTGGCAACTCAGGGGCGTATCTAAAGGCGGGAGCAGGGGGTCAATTTCCCCCTCAATCCTCACTCAACCCACTCAACCCGAATATATATTTATAAAAAATATACACATATGTTTATGTACACATATGTTTGTTTGAAGTATCAAAATCTGTTGATAGTGCAGTGGGTACAGTGCCACTTGTTATCTAATCAGGCAAAGGTTTGAATCCTTGCTGCCTTTTTATAGGGTTTTTTTAATTTTTGTCCTTTTTAAAACTTCTAACAACTTACGAAATATAAATGGCCATGAGTAGTATAAATTGTGTGACTGATATTTATATTAAGAATTTACAATTACATCAACTACAAAGCTCTATATCTTTAAAGAAACGTGAAGATAATTTTTGGACGAAACATAAAAATGAAGTATGATACCATTATGTTGATTTAGAATATCAACATAAAAATGAGTAGTACATTACTTATAGTTAATTTTAGAATATAGTATTCACAATGTAATCATTCAATAGATACTATAATAGGTTAGAGTGTTGCCCAATATTGTAACTGACTATTTATGAAATGTGTATTATAGTAATATCATAGTGCAAGTTTGACCCCCCCCCCCCCCCCCCATTTAAACTTCTGCATATGCCACTGTCCCCACTGTCATGTCATTGCCACATAAAAAGGCATAAATAATCTCAAAACTCAATAACTTTTTGTCCACCATCATACTTGAGCAATCAGGTTTTTGAGGTATTTGTGTTCAACATTTTTAAATTTCAAAATCCAAGGGAGGATTGGAATATTGATAACAGATTGTCTTTTCAAATAACCTTCCTGATAATCTCACCTCTCAATCATGATCCTTTAAAAAATCTGTCACATCATTTTGAAATTGGTTATTTTGAAACTGACCAGAGTAAGAACTAAGAAGTATACGCAGAATCTCCGACAGTTAGATTGTTGTACAGTTCTAGGCTCACAGAAGGTTGTTATTTGGACACAAGTAATGTTTTGTGCAAACAAATGAATAAAAATACTCTTCATACTTGCTGAAACCCTGCATATAACTTAAAATCCCATGAGCAAACACTACTACAAGTTCATTAACAGCTGGGCTTTAGTTGTTTCTTATTGCAATAGAACAATATGGCTGATGTATTAGGAAGCAATACACTACAAGTCTACAACAGAAGCATGTATACTGCAAACAGGGAACTGTGACTAGCTGTAAATGAAAACATGAAAGAAACAACTCACTTGTATTTCAAAAGAACACTCTGTTGAAGGATCTGTATATTTGTTTTTGGTTTCCTCAATGCATATAATTTCTGAACCATGAAGTCAAACACCTTGGAAAGACAAGAATATGAATGTAACAATTTAGAATGCAGATCAATAGTGTTTTGCCAGATGAACCAAAGAATTTTAAATTCCTCATAATTAAAATCACAAATCTAACCCCACTTGATGCATTGAACATTGTTAAAATATAATGCAAATATGCAATAGCTTGCATTCATTTTAAATGATTACATTACATAATCCACTGACCCCAAAATCTTTTAAGACTACGGCTTGGATATTGTTGTTGCTGGTAACATTACATAATCTAAAAATCTTTTTTCCCCCAACTCTTACAACACTTTGAGCATCATGACTGAGGAAGCATTCATCTTCATAATAGTACTTCTAACAAGATTAATGGGCAAAAGGTGTTGTCACAATAGTTCTTAAACGCACACATGGACAGAAAACCTCTGATTTCCCCTTTTGGTTAAGATAATTCAGCACACAAATTATAGACATGTTGGAAAGAGCTTATTTGAGAGCTAAAGTTAATTTTAATCCATGATTAAGTGGATTAATATCTCTGTTTGGTGATATAAATTGTAGCTTAAAATAACACTATGTCCATCATTTTTTATCAATTAACGACTTCTGAATTTTTTGTAAAGTACAACTGTCATAACCATACTTATATTTGTTAACCTTGTTTATTGGTTTAGCTGACGTTTTCATGTGTAATGTGTCTGTGACACGAACTTTAGCAATTCTTTGACAAATTATATGAAACTTAGCTTTGACAAATTCGTGTTTGAAAACTTGACGCTTTTTTAGACGGATGGAGAGAGTATAATTCAAATTCTGTCTTCTATAACTTTAATGAAAACCTCGTATTTTTACTTGTTTTCACTAATAACCCTATTATATTTTATTTCTCACTAAATCATAAATGTTATTTCATCATTTTATTTCAATAGCTTATGCAACAACCTATTTACCAAACACTCACTCATAGTAACAGCTTTCAACTTTGAACTTTTCGCTAGTCACTCTTAGCTTTTCAACTTTGATCTTTTTTTACGTTGAAGTAACCTTTCATCTTGATGTGCCAAATACAGTCATGTCTTCTGAAGTCTAATACTCTAAAATGGTCACAATATCAGTAAATCACACATGCACCATTGACAACTAAGAAATCCTTAAATTTCATCTCAAAAGCTTGATGTTGTACCTTCCAAAGGAGGCAAACTGACTAAACAAAAGTGAAAATAAGCTTGTTCAGGTCAGTGCATCAAATCAGTGTCTTCTAAGGCTGTTCCTTGCCAATTCTTAGTAGCAAGATTTGAGGTTGTAAAGATACCTCATAGCATGCAAAAATGAAAATACCTTTGATACTGCCTTCTGTCTTAGCTTTTCAAGTTCAGGTTGAACATCTTTTAGGGCTTGTGATGTTTTAACCATCGGGTCTACTTCAACGAACTTCAGTTTTTTACTCAAAATCTCCAAAGTTCTAATATATTCATCATTAACCTAAAGATGAAGCAATCATTACTTTTGCACAAATTAAATAGCAATAAAGCATCAGAGAAACATCAATATAGCAATCAAAGAGTGACTCAGTGAATAATCAATCTGGTAGTGTAACATTTTTGCAGCCATAGACCACTTCTGCAATATAACTCTCTCTAGTTTATCTATTGCCTATTGCTATTGTATGACCATTCAGTGCATACTCATAACTACCTTGTGACAAAGCACTTAGCTATAAAACAACTGTTTTTCAGCTCGGTACATTTTAATACTAAATGTCTAATAAAAAATCTCTCAACCATATTCATGTTTACACATTAACTTCACAAGGATTACAATATTTTCTAAGTGCACAATGACATATTAATCCTTCTCGGACTGTGGTGCACCAAGCACCTCAGGCTCATACATCTCTCTCGTGAATGTGATAACTGATAACTTCCGTAATGCCTTCCTGTTGTCATCTCCAAGGAAATTTTGTTAATCTAACTTGAGTTCACATGTCATATATGAATGGAGGAAGAATAACATAGATTTTACAATTATGTTGTATGATTATGCAAAGATAAACATGATTCTATAAACTCGAGAAAACATCAATCCATAGTAATAACTTGTGTTACATTGTGAACAGGGCTGCCAAACTCTGGCGACCCATGGTGGCTGCAGTTAGGTGTGAATGACAGCGCCAACAGATGTGGTCTGGCCTGCAACGAAATAGGTGGTTTGACCAACCAGCAAAGGAGGTGGTCTTGATGGATGAGGTATTGATGGTCCCAGCGACACAGAATGTGGGGGCCAGTGGTGACATTGGAGTTGATTCAACCAATGGTTGCGACAGTGGTGGTCTGACCAGTGGTGTTGGAGGTCTGGCAGCACTAGAGTCAGGCGTTTGGCCATTGAAAACGGAGATCTGTATAAGTGTTAGTTTAAGAGGTGATCCTATCAATGGCAGCAACAATACACGTATGGTTGGTGGAGTCAAGAGTAAACCAGCCAACAAGAATGGAGGTTCACTACAGTCGACAGCAATCATCAGCTAGCGGTGGCAACCAACTGTTGGTGGTTAAATGGACCAGTTGTGTATATATGGGGCTGGTGATATAGCATTATTTAAGAAAGACACAAAAGGATGAGAACTTAGTACTCAGCAACACTTTGTGTGGTCAATATGAGTAATTACTTTACTCATCTATATTACTTTACCTGCAATAATAACCTGACTGTGTACTAAGTTACAATGTAAATAACTAAATATATCCTAGAAGAGTACGAATAACTCCTAAGATTAGGTAACTGGGAAAATTCTTGTTGACATAACTTAAGATGATCAAACTCCTAATGAATAACTGAAGGCAATTAGCAGGTTACACATGCGTTGCTAACAAACTGCAACAACAATTATTTTACACAAGTGGTAAAAGAGTAGTGATAAAGAAGAGACAGATAGGATGATAGACACTGGCAAATCCGACTCTCAACACAGTAGATTCAATAGCAATTATGGAGAAACAAGATCAGAGAAAGTTTATTGATGTAAGGAAGAAGTACAGAACGTATACAAGTATTGGACGATTCGAGATGCCCAGTCTCCAAAGTCTATTCCCAACTTAATACTTACCTACCTTATTTCCTCCCTTCCCCTTCTATTTATACTACTACAAGTACACTTTCTATTATTATTATTATTATTATTTCTATTATTAGCCTACTAAGCCAAATTCCTATCAATACTCCCCCCCCCCCCCTAAACAACCACCTTGTCCTCAAAGTGGGTGATAGTAATCGGCCATGATCTTCCACTTCCACTTCATTCTTGTACCTCTCCCCTCCCAGTACTTGACTGATTCCGGGACTAGGAATTTCAATACCAAATCGTTTGATATTACAGACATTTCCCCAGCAGAAGATGTATCTAATGAAGGTTCATTCGCTTCAGTAACTTTCAAGCACTCAATCACAACACATGTTTCTGTACTAGATGCAAACTTTTCTTTGTACCTTTCAGCTTCTTCCTCTTTCCATTCTTGGCCTACCTCATATGAAAAAGAAGGCATAAAAGTTTTTAACAAGCAAGCAAGGAGATCCACTATACCAGCAGGAGTTCTCTTAAGTATGGAACAGGAATTCCTATCTTCAATGTAAGAATTCCACAGTTGATTTTCTTGCAGAAATTCAAGATACCATTCAACCCCTTCAACTTTCAACGCTGCAGCAGTTCTCATAACTATGGAACATGAAAGCCTATCTTCCATATAAAGCTTGCAAAAGTGGTCTGCTTGCATGCAATCATTTCTTTCATCCAAAAAAGACCTGGTCATTGTTAATCCTTTCTGTTCAGACAACCTTATCGGTCTTGTTGTACTGCAGTTGACTCGTCTTGATGTAGGAATAGAACTGACCTCTCTGCACTTAACAACTTGCTCAACATGATACCTTGAGTTTATTTCAGAGCTAGGATCTACTCCAAACTCAGACCATGGACCCAAACCTTGCCCTCCATTGTAGATTCGAACAAAGCAACCCTGGTTTTCAATCTTCATCCCTCCCTGTTTCATTACCCTAGCAATTTCAGCAGCCTTTCTGGCATCAATAGTGGTTTCTGAGCCAGCATAAACTGCTGCAGATTCTTTCTTTTCATCAGATTGCCATTCTGATAGTGGCCTCTTGTCAACCAACACCTTAAAATTCTCAAAGTAGCGACCTAACTGTTGGTTTGGAATTTCCAGAACCTCAACAGCTTTATCCCCAGAACCTATACACGTCTCATGATCTGCATACTTCTTCAGAATGTTCCCCTCACCTATTTTCTCACTTTCCTCATCAATTGACCTCAACTCGATATTCGTTATAGCAGGATTTGTCTTGTAAAACTTCAACCAACAGAAATGGTGCCCAACAGCGCTGCCATACGAATTCAGATTCTCTAACCGCCAAAGTCCCAAGTCTTGGAAGTTTTCTTCTTTCCCATCCCCTATAAGAGAGCCAATAGCTCTTGCAGCAACAGAACGATCTTCAGGGATCATATCCTGATGAACTTCAGGCAGAATGAACATGAACGTATTGGTTTCCCGAACGTATTGGAACTGAGCTTTACCTGTCCCCAACTGCTCAATCTTCCCTTTGCTAATAGCTCTTACTTCAGGATATAACCCAAGCCCTTGGGTTTCAGTTGCTTCACTCTTTGAAATTGTAGCATCTGACATGTATTTCCTTCTAGCTTCTAAGTTATTTGATGAATCAATATTTTCTGCTCCTTTCAGAATTTCCTCTTTTGTCTCCAATTGTTGAACTGAAAGTGCAGACGGCTTTGACTCAACGTTTGTTTCCAGCTGTGGGCCTCCTGAAGATCCTTTTCCTTTTTGCGCCTGGAGTTATGGCTTCTGAAACGGCTGATTCCTTTAGGAACGTTGAAACTAGTGCATTAGGAGACGCTGATTGGGCTGAAATAGTTCGTGACTGCGATAAGGAAGCCTGTGAACAGAGAGAACTGGTTCTCATCTGCGAACTGGGAGAAGATATTGGCCAGTATACCTGCGAACTGGTAGAAATTGTTTGCGATGGTGATGAAATCTGCTGACTAATGTGAGAAATGGTTTGCGACAAAGCCGGGGAACTGGAGAAAGTTGCTTGTGACTTAGAGGAAACCCGTGAATTGAAACCTCCTGTCAATCTCGTTTCACTTGGAGGAGAAGAAGTTCGCGACTGTGATTGCGAAGACTTCTGCGCACGCAACAAGGTCTGCGAATTAGGCAAAACTGTTCGCGATGACGAGCTGGGAACTTCTATGTGCAACTTGGGAAAATTAGTTCGTATCTGCGAACTGAAGGACGTTGTTGACGAAGACTTCTGAGATGTTGTTGAAGGTCACGTATGATGACGAGGATGGGATCGCGATTTTTCTCTCTCGCGAAGTTCATCGCTCAGCGCATCCATCTTTACTGCTATTTTTTCCATCATCGTTTTCATCTGTAGCAACGTTTCCTCAGTTGCGATCCTGCTGCGCTTCATTTCTTCCCTTAGATTCTCCATTTTGGCTCTGGTTCGAACCATTCAGAACGAGAAAAAATCCGGTGATACTACAGCAATTCCGATCACCAGAACAGTTGCTCTGATACCAATGATAGACATTGGAAAAACCGACTCTCAACACAGTAGATTCAATAGCAATTATGGAGAAACAAGATCAGAGAAAGTTTGTTGATGTAAGGAAGAAGTACAGAACGTATACAAGTATTGGACGATTCGAGATGCCCAGTCTCCAAAGTCTATTTCCAACTTAATACTTGCCTACCTTATTTCCTCCCTTCCCCTTCTATTTATACTACTACAAGTACACTTTCTATTATTATTATTATTATTATTTCTATTATTAGCCTACTAAGCCAGATTCCTATCATAGGAGAAGAAAGAACAACTTAAGAGGTGGTGCAAAATCCAAATACCACAGCAGCAGGTGACTATTACTTTACATACATTCGTCTGTATAGTGTATAAAGCAACTAAACATAAAAAAGCATCAACTACAATCAAATATGAAAAAATAACTGAATGAAGATTCTTGGGACAAAATAGCTGCCATTAGAAAAGTTATTTCATAAAACTGAGCTTCAAAAAACTGCCCACATTAAAACTTGCAATAACTAAAACAAAATTCCCCTCTGAAGAATAAAAACATAATTCACCACACAGTTAAACTAAGCACACAGCATTTAATCTAACATGCATACACCATATTCTCCTCTTATTATCAAGACTGTTTCAATTGAACAGTTGAATATAACTGCAGATGTAGTTTTCCATCTACCTGTATAAACAGATAGATGTCTTCTCTAATAGTGTTCTGCTGCAGCCACACCAATGCATTAAAAAGTTTACACAAGTTTTTATGAACCCATAAATACCTCTCCATCAGTAACAATGTCTATCATCCTTGGTGGAACAATAATATCTTCAACAAATTTTGACAGTTTTGACTCCGCCACCTGCAAGAGAAAAATATCCCACCTTCTACTAAGCATCCAAAACAAAACGAAAATAAGGTAAAAACACATAGGAAGACTGTCTGAAACTACTTATTTTAAAACTCAGCAAAAAAAGACAGAATGAAATGAATAAATTATTATTACATAATAAATAAATAAATAAACAGAAGATGGTGGGAAAAATATCCCGTACCAATACATGAATTAAAATGCACATGGAATATGCCTATAGAGTGAACATTTCTTGTTTCATTCACCTTGTAAATGCTTACCATTTCTAATTTCTAATACTACATTCAAGGAGCTGGTTTTTAATAAAGTATCCAATTACCAGGCAGTGATATGCAGCACTGTATAGCGCATCAAAATAACAAGTTACAATAGAAGTTGGAACTAAGCAGCAACATTGAAGAAAAAATGTTTTAGCTGGGTGAAAGGATCAAAACTGCAATTTGGATTATATTCCATCCACTCAAAGCAGTCACACACTCACACTGGTTATTTTTAATGTTCACCTTCTCTGCCTTTCATCTTGACATACAACAAAGTTATAAAACTGTCAAATGGGGCCTCCTATGTCCTATCTCCAAAATGCAATTAGGACCTTGTGCCCAACAAACACCTAACTGGACACACAAATGCATAAAAAACACCCAACAACAACATTTACAACAACATCATTATCCCAGTGCTGCAAAGGCTCCAACCTACGGTGGGGTAAGGGGGGATCAGATGTACTCAGCCTTATCCATGTACTAAAGCACAAAGAGACTGTTTCCGGATGACCCATGATAAACTCATCAAAAAATACCCAATTAGCATTTTTAGCGAGTCACTCCCCGAAACACCCAATTATTTAATATTTTATTTCTTCTCCCTTTATTTTATATTCTCTTTTCTTTTATTTCTTTTTCTTTTCCCCTCTTAGTCTCTTTTCTTTCCTCTTTTATTTATCTCTTTTCGAAATGACACAATCCAAAAGAATTTTTTCATCCTCCCGTGTGAAGCTACATAATACAGATGGAGAGCCTTGCTTGGTACGTGGAATGGGTAGAGGAGCTGCTTTAGGGAAGGTGGCAGTGCGGGATGGAGTGGAAGGCAGTGATGCTGGATGCGGTAGAAGGCAGCAGAGCTGGATGTGGTGGAAGGCGGCAGTAGTGAATGCTGCAGAGGACGAGAGCTCTATATGCATTGGAACTTGGAAGCAACGACACTGGGTGTGGCAAAGATGCTGAAGAAGGCGATAGAGTAGTATGGGAAGAAGGGGGAAGAGGGAAATGAAAAGAAAGAATACAAAATGAAAGAAAAGAAAGAAAATAGAGAGTGAATAGAATAAATTATGATGAGTTGGCATGGATATTAGAATAATGTGATGGTGAATTGCCAACAATGTGGAGCTGCCAAGCTGCTGTGGCAAAGGGAACCTTGAAACTGAAACATGAAGGTAACCTGGTGAGTGGCGAGGTGATTTTGCGTATTTTTCATTAGTTCGTGTGTGCTGTTATTAATTTTATGGTAAGGGAGCTTAATTGCCAGATTAGAGATAGGAGGGCCAAGTTGACAATTTTCTCATACAACCCATTTACACAGCTAATGAGTTAACCCATATATAGGGAGATTAACCTCTCGCCACATTTATGAAATCAACTATTAAAGATATACTAGAGCAGCTGAATGATATATCAGTACTAAAGTAAATTCAGCTATTAACTATGGAAGCATTACCTTGCGATTCTTCAGCCTCAGTCCCATATCCATAGACTTCTCTTGAAGGATTTTTATATCTGAGCTTATAGAGCCTATTTCTGTCTGTAAAATGAAAATAAACTTGACAATTATTGTGAATTGTGATAGTTCCAAATGTTATGTATTATATTACTAAATGGTGGCTGAAGATGAACAATGCAAGCAGGCATAGGAAAATCATAAATGGTGACTGAGACCATCTTCTGTTACTGTTAGATTTACACAAGTAAAGAATTATTTCATTCCATGAGACTGAACCTATGGACTCAATTTTCAATTCATCAAGAATTGAGATGATTATAGCTTATAAATTTCGGAAGTATTCTTCAAGTCAATGGTTGAATATGTAGGTTTCTACTTTTAGTACTAACAAAAATAGATAAAAGTAAAGTTGAAGGGCCACTTTTCTACAACTGGAAACACTTAAAACACGATTTTCATCAATCTTAACTTAGCGAAGGAGAGACAAAATACCTGAAACCCACTAAGCAGCGCTTCCATTTGTGAAAGAATTATATCACAGTCATGAATTTGATCATGAAGTGAGACTAGATTGTCGCTTTCTTTTATGTAATCCTGTTGGTTTTACAAATAAGCCCATCAAATAATGTAAAGCAGTCACAGAAGAGTGAGAAGACCTTCATATGATACTCATCAAAGCAAATATATCAATGAATACTGATTTACTATAGGGCAGAGGTCAAAATTTGGGTGAAATCCCGACCTAAATAAGAAGTCATGACAAGTGCAGATAGTGAAAAGATGAAGAAATACAATCATGTCAAGAAATACAAAACTTCAACAGCTTGTCAGCTACAACGCTGTGCAGTTCTAAAACCCCAAAAACAAGTGCAATGCACAAGATTTTAACAAACCTGGATTGAGTCTAGTTCAACCTGCCGTAAATTGTTTTCAACTCCCTTTGTATATTCCCTTAATTTCATGCCTTCAGATAGTATATTTGCAACTACCTTCAAATGTATACAACAGGACATTTTTCCAACATTAGGATTATAAAAGTACTTAGAAATGCAAATGAAAGACCAGGACCAAAATGGAACCGAATTGATACACTAGAAACTACTTACATCATCATTTTTACACTCTTCTAGCTCTTCCTCTAACCCCTCGAGTGATATATCCTCACTACACATCATGTTCAAAAAAATGCTAATCCGTGGGAAGCTTAGACAACCCAAACTTTGGGATATATCGTTCGTCAGACCAGAGGCACTACACTATACACCTTGGACACTCCACTTAGAGTATGTTCTACCTAATAGGGATTAAAAGTCCGTGGCACGGCCGGGATACGTCCGGACGGAGATGCGGGGCAGAGCTTGGACTGGAGTTATTTCCGGCAGCAACGAGACTTTGAGCAGTGAAGAAGCTGGGTCAAATGCATAAGACGAGTATAAGGGCGTTTGGTTTGAGAGGATAGATGGAGCCGACGGAAGGCCACATTAGGGGTGAGATACGCCGGAGTCGGATCAGATCTGTTGGGACTTGGTTTCGGCTCTATTGTTTTCATCAGATCTGCCACGTAGTGGTGGGGCCACTTGAGATTTGATGTTTTTCATCAGATCTATTCGTCCCGGTCATTTCTTCCAACTTTCCTTTTTGTATCGTCCCAATTAATTCTTTCAACTTCCACTTTTAGAAAAAACATGTGGTTCACATTCATTCACATTTTTCTTACACAACTACAACCATATATTTCCACTTTATTCTCACTATCTAAATTTGCGAGTCAAGTCAATTTAGGAAGAAATGACTGGGACGGATGGAGTAACTTTTTTTGAACGGAAACTTGTCTTTATTCATATCATAAGTTTCATGATCATTACATCAATCAAAAGAAAAACAAATATGACACTAACTAAACTCCAACAATTACGACTATAAACTCTATGGTGAGACTTAGAGATGTTCACCCATGAAAGAGCAACACAAATTGCTAACCATGCAGCAGGCTTGACACAATCATTTCTGTTCCCATAGATCCAAACATACCCAATGACATAAAAGGAGGCTAAATTCTCAAACAAACTGACAAACCTAACAACATAGACGGTAACAAGAAACCAAATGATAAAACAATTAAACTAATAGGAGGAGGACGAAACATGAAAAAAACTTAAATAAGCAAAACAAGTATCTTGAACTCTAGCACCTCGTTCATCCCCTGGCGGCGGTTTAGGAGGAGGCCGGACCATCGCTATGATTGTTGACACAAACAAGGCACAACTCATGTCCGTCGCTCGATTGATTCCCTGACGTGGTGCAACCTCCGTCTGCCCAGCAATTTCAGCCCCTCTAGACGCCGTCCTTTCTCCCTCCCTTGGCTCCCGCAACTCCTTCTCCATCGGCCGCCACAGCACGCCTAATGATATTCCTGCGAACAATTCCTTCTCTGCAAACCTAATCATCGCTCCAAAAGACGACTAAATCTAAATGCCGCACACAGGATGGCAAAAACTAGAACCCTTATTCAAAGGAGACGGCCGCTAAGAAAAATAACTTTAAATAATACAAACTATCTTCCATTAACTAAGAATAATAATAAGTATTTTGGAAATAACTTGTAACAATAGCAACTATTTAAATATAGATTAAAAGTGATATAGAGCATTTTTCACCAAAATTTAGTCATTTAATTCACCTAAAACTAATATTAAAATATCAAATAAGTGATTGTATTTCTGAATATCATTTATTTGATGGTTTGCTATGAGTTTCATATGTCTTAAATGATTGGATTTCTTGTTAAAAATTGATTCCATATTATTATTTTTTACCTTCAAATAGTTGGTATTATTAAAAATCATTTTCAAAGTATGTATTATTATTGGTTGATGAATGATAGTTGGTATTATTAAAGTTATTTTCCCTTTTATTTATGAGTGATAAACAATACTCCATTCGGCCCAATAATGTCTTTATTCTTTCATTTTTTGTCTATCTCAATATAAATTTTTTCCCCTTTTTGATAAGAAATATGTGATTCAGAGCATTTGCCCTCACTTTCTTTCTTCTCTGCACAAATTTAGACCACATATTTTTCACTTTTTTAATCTTTGTGCCAAGTTTGAACAGGAATTAATAGTGCGACAGTGGGAGTACGAAGTATGGAAGATACTACTACCTAGTAAATATTCCAAACTTTGAAGGGATCTAAGATTAATACCACAAACTTACATATGTAATACGTATATTCTAAACTTTACATAAAAATTATTTTAACATCATGATTAAATGTTTTTACAAATATAAATTTATTGAAATAAGTACATAATTTAAAATATTCTAAACTTTGTTGTGATGCAATTACATTTTAAATTTCATTTGTGAAATAAATAATATCACATCTGCTACAATCTAATTTAAATTACATCCTCATAAATGCTTTGTGTATTTTAAAGAATGTACCTAACAACGTAAATTACATTTGTGAAAAATATACTTTTGTCTTTTAAAAAGTTGCCATGTTTAATCAGCACGGATAATAATATAGTAAAACGTTTGTGGTTTAGAATTGCGTAGAGGACAGAGAAATAATAGAAATCGTAAATTAAAAGGGAAAGCGGCAAAGTTTGACGGAAAGAGTATGATCATGATGTTAACATAACTTTTTATATAAAGTTTAAAGTATATACAGAGTATATTACATGTGTAAGTTTATAGTACATACCTGACACCTAGGGGTGGACTCGGTCCAGTCCTGATCTCGGTTCCCCACATTTGAGACCGGAATCGATCCAGACTAGTATGGTACCCGGTCCGGCCTACCTGGCTGGTCTCGGGCCGGTTCGGACCGGTTTGATTATTTTAAATGAAACTTACACATTAAAATAAGAAATGTATATTTATTTCAAACACTACATTGACTAATTAGAGTATTAACACATTTATAAATTACAATTGAGAATAGTTTAATCTTTAAAATTTAAATGCATGAATCAATCGTCCGAGCCGCTTCCGGTGTCGGTTGTCGTTTCCTCCATGTAATGGTGGTCCAGTACTATGTTCACTCCTTGTGTTCTACGACATGACTTCAACCAATCGTGGAAGCAAACGAGCGTCTCAAGAGATGAAGCATTCAACCTCGTTCTATAGTCAGTCAAAATGTTACCGTCTTCACTAAATTATTGTTCCAATGCAACTGTTAAAATCGGCATTGACAACACTTGTTTGGCCATTTGTGATAAAACCAGAAATATTCCTTCGTGGCTCTTCTACCGTTGGAGAATGTCAAAGTCGTCCCCTTCATTATACTCAACAGAAAAATGCTAGATATAAAAAAATCTTGTTAATTGAGTTTTGTGCAACGATAGGAGTAGATTTACCTTTTTTCAAAAGATTAGATATCATTGATTCGTTGATTTAAAAATACCTTTTTCTTTAGATGAAGAAGTTATCGGTTTTAGGGGAGGGTATGTTATCATATTGTGTATAAAATTCATTAAATAAATTGTGAAATAGATTGCTAACCTTGTTGAATTGGGCTTATAATCTATAGGGGAGTCCTTGTACATAAGAAACTTGACGTAGAAAGCAGTATAATAGTACTCTAAAAATGTTTGGTAATTTGATAGTTTGAAATGAGTTTCAAGACATAAAGCAATAGATTATATAGATAGAACATAGGCAAAATATTTTAAAAACTTTTCCTTCATGAAATCACAAAAATAATGAACATAAAGAGCTTGGGAAAATTGTTGAAAAACATTGGCGACATTTGAGTCAGCTGTTTGATCATCATGCACCGTGATAACATGTTGCATGTTACCATAAATCCCTTTTGCTTCACTTCTCTGATTTGATAGAGGATAATCTTCTCTCATGCTCATTTATGTAACACCTTAATGAATGTCAACATGCTTTTTGATAGTATCAAGACAAGTTATCTTTTGCATGGCTGATTTTGGTCAAGCATCCTCATACTCTGTTTTCAGGAAATTTTCATTTAGATCAATCTTGATTTGTAATGTTTGAGCAGTATCTGTGGAATTTGATGTATTTGATATGCATTGAAGCCGGGTACCATTTGAAGCTCAGATTGCTCAATTTATCTTTGAATGTGTTCATGTTCTTTGAAACATTTTTGTAATGTTCTGAATTTGTAAAGAAAATTGGGAGCTTGTGTGTTGATGTTTTTCAGTAGGCAACTGATTTTCTGTAGAACGCAGAAGACTGAAAAGATGGTTCCTTGTTTGAGCCAACTGTTTTTCCTGCTGTAGTTTTCCTTCTTCCTTATTTCTTTCTAGAGTTTCTGGTGACTTGAGCCTTGATTTCTGATTACAAATAATCCTCCTTTTGAACGACTCCTGTTATCCACCTAATCCTCAGAGCTAGTCAAGTCATCTGATTTCTGGACTTTGTCAACTAGATTTTACTTGTTTGTAAACATGCCTAGAAACTCTGAAAGATTTGTAAAGCATTTTAGCAAATTATTCCTTTTAATCCAATTGATCCACGAGGCTGGATTCAGCCTTTTGGTTGAAAATTTGTTGTTGCTTTCTTTCATCATTGATCTTTCTTCATTTGAAGAACACTCATTCTTCAATTTTGATTGATTCCCTAAGCATGATTGTTTTAAACATTCCCCTGTGTTGATGATCTTCAATAACTCCTTTGACTTGGTACTCATAGATGGACATTTTTAGGACATTGTTATTAACATGAAGTGGCTATAAACAAGGTGCTCCTTCATTAGGATGATGTTGTTAGTAGGGTGCTCCTAATTTTTATTAGGACGCTACAAAAGAGCAGGATGCTCCTAATAAAAATAGGACACTACAAAATAGTAGGGTGCTCCTTTATCATCAAAGTCCATTCTTTGAGTTTTTGTTGAGGTAGTGAGTTCCCCCTCAACCTGCGATGTACTTCTCATATAGCAAGATGAATGTTTGCCTTGATCTCTTAGGATAATTCACCCTTAATAAATTGTCCTTTATACTGAAAGTGTTGTGCTTGAAGCCAAACATATTGATGCATCCCCGTTTATTGATGAACCAATCTGTCCCCTAACTATTATCCAGCCCCAAGAGTTAGCATTGCAGGCTAATATTATGCCCCCAGGTGCGCAAAATCCTGATGTTGTGCTAGACAGTGCTCAACTACAAGTTGTAGCATCAAATGAACTACTAGCCTTGAAGGCTAAGGTTGTGTTGCCTGAAAAATTCCCTACTCCCAGCCCCTTTGATATAGTTACATATGATGCTTCTGTTGTCCAGGAATGTGCAGACAGACAGACAATGCTTCTGTTGGGCTGGTTGACAGTGTTCAGCCCCGGTTTCAGACTATGGCTGTGCTCATAGCACAACTCCCTACCTCCCCCCTTTTGATACTGTTACAAATGAAGTTTCTATTGCTACAGCCTGTGATGCAGTCCTTTGTGCTGCTGTTTCTGATACATTGGGTGGTACCCTTGTTCTGAAAGCTTTAGAGTCCCCTCCTATCTCAAATTTTGCTACAAATGCTACTGCCCGAGTTGATACCAATGTAACCACATATGTAGATAAGGTTGGCCCGGTTGAC